ATTTATTGGTATTTAAGTGAAAAAACACTTCTAATTTCCCAATAAAAAATTAAATGATCAGTAAAATTATTAACTTGAAAGTGAGGTTTTCCTATGCAAAATTTGTGACAGTTTAGTTCCAAATTCACTCTCCTTAATGTGAATTTTCGATAAACTACTTTCAAAAAGTTGAAGAGTTATATGGTTTCACCACAATAACTTGACGTAACGGAAGATTTCAACCGTCAAGGGAGTAACGCAAAAGTGATAATAAATATAAGTAGCCACTTCACTTAAAATCTTCCTTCTTCACTAAGTCAATTTATCTCTCTCTCTCTTGCTTTCTCTCCCTAAAACTCAATCTGTTAGTGTTGTTCCCTTCCTCGAAATGCTCACATAAGAAGAAATGATTCCAGAAGAAATGATTCCAGAAGAAATTCCACAAGAAAATAAGGAGTTACAAGAAGATCAGGACCAAGTACAAAATGAAGTGGTTGCACCATGGCAAATTTTTTGTGCCAAGGAACAATGTCAAGTACCATATGGAGAAAAACGGTTCCTTGAAATATCCTGGTGTTTGCCCCAATCACCATTTAGAAGTCGATAGATATTATAAATGGGTTCAAAACTACAGGAAGAGGAAGAGAGGAATGCTTAACAAAAGATGGGGTGATCGACCAGTAATTTTAAGAGACCCTGTAGGCCCTGTCATCGCGTATGCTTTTACTATCGGATCAGATGCTGGTCTTCTCAGAAATCACATCTTGCCTAAGCTTGAAAAAGACGATGACAAGGCAAATGATGCTTTAGTATGCAAGGGTTGGGCTAGAGAGGTTCGAGTTATTCATCCTTCTACATAAAACAGGCTGATTATGAAAAGGTTGCTAGTCCGTTGTGGTACCCATTACCACGTTATGGTGACTAGAGGACCGAATGAAGAGGCTCATGTCTTCAAATACTGGTGTGCCTATGAGCGATGGGATAACTCAATCGCCAATCACAATGTTGTTGATTGGAGTTTAACAAGTCCTGCCGATGATAGGGATTTTGAAGACTACTTGACAGATCCCATAATAGAGAGGGCGTTGGCGACGCTCCAGGATAATCCAGGATATTAGAAGGCACCTAAATCGGTATATCGCTGTATATATTTACCCTTTAAGTCCTGTTTTAAAGAGCATACACAATTCAAAACTTATAAGTTTTGAAATGCTCTAATTTTGTTATCATTCTATTTTCTATAAATATTAAGTAATGTTTATATTCTATGTTTAGAATTTACAGAGTCAGACATACACAATGGTTTGTATTTATGCTTAAAGAGTCATAATTTGGTTGGTTTCAAACGCCATCAACCACCCAAATTAAGGGGCATTTGTTCCACCCAAAAATCAGATTTTTGACTTTTATTTGACTTTCTTGACTTTGACCAAGTTGAGAAGTCCTAGAGTTAGTTTGGCGTCTTTGGGCTATATCAATTAAAGAAAAACAAACATTAGGCTAAAATTAGACTAAGGCCTAATTATATATAGACCGGATTAGAAGGTTCATGGATGATTTTAATTTTCAAAACAGAGTTGGCACCAAGAAGCATAACCGTACAACAGTTATGGGAGTCAGCCAAAACCGTTCCATTTTGCCTATAAATAGAAGTGTAAGGATCGAAAGAGGACATCAACAAACAACTCAACAACAAGCATTTCATTTCTTTTAAGCTTTCGTAGTTTTCCCTTGGCTTAGTAGCTAAGCGATAGTGTAGTTTACCATCTACCATGCATTAAAGATCGTTCGTCTTTTCCAATTGTATGAACATGGAGGTAACCTTTCCTTCAACTTGTACAATTGTAGATCTGACTCTATCCTTTCATTAATGGAATGCATTTGTATATTTTTTCATATGTTTATCTACTCGTTTCTTTGAGCAATCTAACTTGTTTTACTTCTTTTGGGATAGCTTCCTTATTTGTTTGTTTTACGTTAGCAAGGTTCTCAATCTTTGATACCGGTAACTCGAGGGGTAGCCCCCTAAATCTTGAACAAGATAGAGTATTTAACTTGTTGGTAAAGAGCAATATTTACCTCAACAAATGTGAAGGTTACACATATAAAGATTTTTGGAGTGAGAAGTGACGACACATAAGATGACATATAACGCTCATGTAGTGAAAGCAAATCATCATAAGGAACGCTTGTCGGTGCATGATTTCAATCGTGAATATCTTTAATTACCAACATGTAAAAATTATACACATTTGATATTAAAATAGTATAAATCGAGACGAATCTAACAAGATCTCACACGACTATATTCTCTAAGGTATAAATAATAAAAGCTAGTCAATGTGAAAGACATTAATTGTGTAAAATTCAAATTGTTGCAACTATAAAAAAAACGGTGGAATTGAAGTATTTTTCAAATTTGAAAAGGGTGAAGGTAGAGAATTTGACATGGTACCTTTATTTAATAATGGTAGTAAGTGACTGTTTTTTACAATGTCTTTTTTTTTTTTTATTTTGGCGGGGGGATTTGGAGAATTAATTTTAATTAAAAACTAGTTATTAGCCCGGGTGATGCCCCATATCACTATAAATTTTTAAGTTTCATCAAAGAAGGTTAGTGTTCAACAATATTTATATGTGAATAGAAATATAATAAATAGTTTAAGATTAAGTTTTTATTTATTTTAATTTACATAACAAAATAATAGCTTATGTAAATATTACGTGTGACTGGTATTAAATCTAGGTGATTAATATCTTATAAATTAAATGGTAGATTATTGTGCAATGAGTTACGTATTGCATTTTCTAGGAAATTTAAATATGAAGGTTACACATATGAAGGGTTTTAGGGTGAGAAGTGATGATACATACATAAGATTACATATAACGCTCATGTGGCACCAAATCATCATAAGAAAAGATGACACATGGCGATATCATGTTATCCCTTTGAGTTTTAATAATATTATAGTTAGAAGTTAAATTGGGTTTGAATGACTATATTTTTATGTCTACACATGAAAATTAATACTAACATAAAGTAGTATAAAAAATACTAATACATTGTTTTGCATAATTTTAGTTAATAATTTTTGAAAGAAATGACATCTTTCTCTCTTCTTCTTCTTCTTCTTTTTTTTTTTTTTTTTTTTTTTTTTTTTTTTTGTTTAAATTATATATCTGAATTCAATTGGATATTATTTTGATTGTATAAAGTGATTGGTTGATTGAAAATTTATAATTGTATATTAATCGAACGCATACACACTTAAACATGTCTTATTGTAATAATATTCACTAAGAGTAAGTAAATCAATTATTCCTAACAAATCAAATTATTGAAATTAAGTATAACGTAAAAGTATAAAATTTATTTTATATAACAACTTCTTAATAAAATTCAAGAAAATGTATTTTGTTCTATCATGTTTTGACATAAAAAATTGAATATAAAATTGGGTAAATTTTTATAAACCTTTGATAGTCATATAAAAGTTTGACAATAAATATTGTCGAATTTATACTCAAATTTTTATGTAAACTTTTGCATAAAAAATATTTGATGTATATTTGCAAAAAAAAAAAGTTGATATATACTTCTTTTATGATATTCTTGTTATTATTTTTTTTATTACATACGGTTAAGATAACAATATTACAATTAATTATGTTTTTAAAAAATCGGGCGTGTAATGGATCCTAAACTAGTTAAGCATAAATGATAGTCCAATGATACAGCCCATGATATTTAGTTTTACCAGGTCGGGTACCGATCGGTTTAATCTGATTAAAAATGGTAAAATACCCACAACCCACTTAACCTACCATGAAACTAAATAATTAACTTGAATTGACAACGCCACCACGCTACTACTTGAACCATACATAAATTTATTTTGGTGTTTAGAGAGCCACAAGGACGGGTGATGAGAATGTATCCCATAATCACCTGTAATCGGAAGAGGAGCTCTAACTATTTGAACTATCCCTCATTTAAACCATACATAAATCAATACACATCGTAAACGATTTCACAACATACTCCTTTTCCAACATACTCCTTTTCCTTACAACGAAGCTTCTCCGACATTTCATTGAGACTAAATTAAGTGATATAAGTCCAAAGCATTAGCATGATCGTCAAAATGGTCATCATTAATAGTTACTTCTAGGGGTGAGCAAACCGGGTACCCGGTCAAAATTTTAGGATCCGGAACCAGAATTGGTTGGGACCGGGTCCTAAAATTTGGAACCGGAATTAGAACCGGTACAACCGGGTCCTAAAATTTAGAAATTGGAATTGGTTCCACCAGGTACCGGTTCCGATTCCAAATACCCACTTATATATATAAGTGTTGAAATATAATACAAATCATAATATTTTTTTTGGTTTATTTTTACTTTTAGCGTTTAATACTTATATTTTTATATACATTAAGCTATTTTAATTATATTAAATATTAATATTTTTTTTTTGTTTTACTAATCAGTTATGTTCAACATATTTTTGTTTTTTTAAATATATTTTGTATAATATATGTTAGGTAACCGGTATAGTAGAGCGGAGAGAAATCTAGAAGTTTTAGGGTTTTGTTTGATAGTGGGTTTAAAGTTTTATAAGCAATTGGGCTTAGAAATTAAAATGGGTTGTAGATAACTCTTTAATTTCTTAAAAACACAAACAATCCACATACTATATCATATACAACCAGGTACCCAGTGGGTACCGGGTCCAAAATTTTAGGATTTAGAACCGGAACCGGTTACAACCGGGTCCGAAATTTTGGACCCGGTCCCGGAACCGGTGAGACCAGTTCTGGGTCCGGACCCGACGGGTCCTAACCGGTTTCGGGTCCGATTCCGGGTACCCTGGATCTTTGCTCACCCCTATTTACTCCCTTCGTCCCTTATCTACATGCCTACATTCGTTTTTGAGGTTTCAAAATTACATACCTATTTCTATTTTAAAATTTTGACAATATTTCCTTTTTTAATGAGTTGTCATCATTTTTGTTTTTTTTTATTTTTTTTTTATTTTTACTTTTGACATTATTTTCCAACATTTTCTCTCTCCATTTCTTCAATAATTACCAATGACAATTTCTTTTGTTTATCTCTCTTTAACCTCACACGCATATTTGTATTAAAGAATTTCTAAATACCTTAATATCAAATTTAACAACCATTTGCCTCCCTCCACAAAACAAACCAAAATAAACCTCCGCTAACACCCCACCCCCTCCTTCCCCCTCCCTCGATCCCTCCTCGCGCTCTCTTTCTCTCTATCTCTTCCCCTTTCTCTGTCTCTCTGTTTAGAAACCCACATAAAAACACAAATTTTCTCCTCCTATTTTTTCTCTTTATACATATATTTCATTCAGTTTAATAAAATTTCCCCCTTTTTTTAATTTCATTTAATTTTGATTCCTAAATTAAAAAGTTCTCTATTTCATGAAACATGGATACTACAGAACATTCAGCTTCCACCCAGAATGATAATCAACAGGTAATCATTTTTATTTTATTTTTTAAATTTTTTGTTCTATATTGATTTTAATGAACTCGATTTTTTTAGCTTATTGCAAGGTTTTTTATTTTTTTTTTAATTAATTTATTTTTTTCGTTAAAAAATAAAAAATACAATATTCACTGTTGTTGTTTCTAATAATAATAAAGCTATTAATAGTTGTAGGAATAAGGAATTATTTGTTACTATTTTTTTTTTTTTTTATCATTGATTATTGATTAAGAATAGCTGGAAGACCACATGATGAGAGCAGGTTAGTTGAACTGTATCATTCGTAATTTCGTATTATGTTTTGCTGTGTATTGTCTGATTTTTGAACCATTTCTATTTTTTATTATGCTTAAGATTTCTTGGTAATTCCGAATTACTATTACGTGTATAAGACAGCTGAAGTTCTGCATTTCTTAATCATGCAACACTTAATAAAAATAAAAAAACAAACAAACTTCTTATTGATTAATAAACATTTTGGATGTCAAAATAGTTTAGTCGGCTAATAGTATTTGGGGTGGTACTCGGGAATCACCTTTTTCGTGACTTGGCTCGTTATCCACCCAAAGAAAAAAGAAAGGAAAAAAATAATCATTGTTTATTCTTATCAAATTTGAGTTGATGGAGATGTATCATATCAAACCCTTTAATTCGTTCCAAATTTCTAATGTAGTTGACTTTTGGCTGTTAGTAGTTTCTGATTCATAGTTATATTGTATTTTAGTAAAAATAAAACATTTAGGTAAGAAATTATTTTAATGAGTATTGGATATGCTCTAAATCCTTATACTTTAAAAAAATAATTTATCCAGTAACTTAAAACATGAAAATGGCCTTTCCATGGATGTCTTCTTTGACCTATTTTTTATTTATTTTTTTTTATTTTTATTTCTTGTATTTTTTGACGCCTTTTAGTTCACTGGCGGTCGCTAGGCCGCCTTAATAGAACATTGTATTGAAAAGAGCCTTAAACTTGGGATCCTATTTTGTATCAAATTCATAGGGAGAACATTATTTAGATTATTACTTTTTTTATAATTTTTTTTATTTTATTTTTTATGTTACTTGGGGTCCACCTGATTGGCATGAAGCCCATTTTTGTGAAGAAAAGGTGTACAAGTACTCTATCCGTTATTTTATGTATGGCGTTACACACACACATATATATATATATATATATATATATATATATATATATATATATATATATATATATATATATATAATATATATATATATTCGTTTTCTTTTAAACAAGAGTTGTTTTAAGGTTAATGCACTTGAATATTAAATTTACTGAGTTGAAAATGTAAAATATTAGTAAGTGATTGCATTTTATGAAAGGTTACATAACAAAAATTTGATATAATTGGGTGTTGTAATTATTGCAAATGAAAGATTATAAAACAAACTTGATTATTATTTGCTTTATTTGCTGGCTGGAAACTAAACTATTATTGTAGATCCTAGTCACATACTAATCCAAATCAACTTCATTTTTTAATTTTTTTGCTTTTGCTTTTGCCTTACCTTCCTTTAGCAATTGAAGCTTAAATTAATTGAAGTTTGAATAATTATTTTTGTCTTTTTCTACTTGCATATAATGTTTGTAATTTAATTAATATTCGGTTTGATGGGTATCGTTTTTTCCTTTTTATTTTTTATTTAACAAAAGAATTATGCGTAAACCTTCCTTTAGTCTCCCACGCCTTAATCTGTAATTATTTTAGGTTAAATTTCTCTATTATGCGCTAGGTTCTCTTGGGTTTTTTTTTTTTTTTTATTTTTTTTTTTTTTTTTTTTTGCTGTAGTGCTCAAAATTGTTTAATTTGGAGAAATCATTGTGTTGTGATTCTGTGTACTGGAGATAGGTTGAAAAGTATGAGATGTGTGCCAAGATGGCTATGATATGTACAAATTCAACAAAGCAGATGGCGTCCTTCATCTAACAATGGAAGTTAACTTTTTTCTATCGAGGATAATACATCAATCCTTCATAAGTTAGTCTACCAACTAATACATATCACAAAGTAAGATGAGGATATAAGACGATTTCATAAACTCAAATGAGCTGCAGTACGTACTATACTATTCTCATTAATGGAGTGGTTTAAAGAGATGTTTATTTATAAGAATGTCCAATGTTGGCTTGCTTTTCCCTAAACTAATAAACATGCATAAAACTTTGAATCAATTACAAATCTGTCTTTTGGTTATCTGGGATATTTGTGTGTGTTCTTATATTTGAATCTATTATGCTAGTCTTTCTTTTGCTTTATATTTATTTTCAGGGTAATTTATGCTGGATGATGTAGTTCAATTTGAATACCATCCTTTGAGTGTTATGTTGTTTTTTGTATGAGCTCAAGAAAAATACTACTGATGTTTTCTGAACTTTAAATGATGTCCATAAATAGCAATCTATATATTTCTTTTGAGATGTGTATGTCTTTCTCAATCCTGCTTTAAATGTTCCCATGTTTATTCTTGCAGATGGGAGATTCAACTGAAATTACTGAAGAAAATCCAACTGGCCAACGCAGTAGGCCACTCCCACAACATCTTGTCCTAGAGATACCATCAGAAGGTATTCAATGTTCTCCAGATGATTTTATGAGAATGAGTATTCTTCCAACACCCAAAAGAGTGAATTTCTCTCCAATGCACAGCCCTGCCGTTGCTGGATTAACCAGGTCTTCAAGCTCCAGCATGCGTAGGGACAAGTCATCATTTAAAAGTCTCCTCCCAAGACTTAGTTTCAAGTTCAGAAACTCCTCTACAGAGGTTGAAAATGCTGCCTTTCTAGCCCTCGGTTCTCCTCCTTCTGTGAAAGGGGGGAGACCGCGAATGATGAGAACATTTTCTCTTTCAAAGCTTTTTACGCCAAAAGGAAATAAAGCTTCATCTTTGCCTGTTACTCCAATTGCACACTCTAACCCAGGGTCCACTCATGGAAGCAATGTGAGTTATTTAATTACTGTCTTGAAGACTTTAGTTTTACATGGTTTCGTGGATGTTTTCTTGGTTGGATAACATTAAGTAACTTGTTATTTTGAAAAGATAACTTGATATTATATTGCAGATTTGCAGTAGTTTTGCATATAGTTCAAAAGCTCTGGTTCCTTTTCACTGCATTAAGGCAATGTTTGCTAATAATCTGTGATCTTTGTATTCCTTGTTACATAATTTTAGGTCATTGTAGCTTATAAAAATTTACCTCATCCTAGTCGGTCATGGCCATCTATTATCCTGTCTCTGAGGTTCACAAAAAGATGGCTGGCCTTTGTTTAATCATATTGATGCTGTAAAAAAGAAGTGAAAATTTAAGTTCACAAAATTGTAGTTCTTTCATGCACACCAGGTCTTGTTGCCGTAATTTCATAGGATTAGATATGCGCTACTAACGCTATTTATCAATATCTGAAAAGATATGCTTGAATTTTTGCAGTGCTTTTATATTTAGTTCCAATGATTAATCTCTTACTTGCCATTACTTTCATGCATATTGACTGTTCATAATACTGCTGCATAAACTAACAAAAGATGACTCTTACCTCTGCCCTTGCTTCCGTTTTCTTTGGAGATAGTATATTTATAGGGCGTGGAGAATACCTCTCACAGGAACTTCATCCATCACTGTATTTGATTCTTAACAGATTTCCTCACTTTACAGAAAGGACGGGTCCAATTACCTATTCATCGTTCACATTCTGTTCCAGCTCTTATCAAAGATGGTAGTGTAAGGCAGGTGGATTCTTTTGGTGGGGTATTTCGTGTAGTACCAACAACTCCGCATGCTAAAGGTGGACCCCCAGTGGCGTCAGGTGCAAGTGCAACTGCTGCTGATGGTATTATTGTTCGACTTTCTGGTTGGTTTTTTCTTAAGCAAAAATCATTATGTTAAGATAAATTAAAATGTTGAAAATCGTGTGATTCAGAAAATGATGATGATGGTGAGGACATTCCTGAAGAGGAAGCTGTTTGCAGAATTTGCTTTGTTGAACTCGGGGAAGGTTCAGAGACACTCAAGATGGAATGTAGCTGCAAAGGTGAACTTGCTTTGGCTCACCAAGAATGTGCTGTTAAATGGTTTAGCATCAAAGGGAACAAGATTTGTGAAGTATGCCAGCAAGAGGTTCAAAACCTGCCTGTAACACTTTTACGAATTCAGAATGCTCAGGCTCAACAAGGAAGTAATGGACAGCAAGCTGACATGACTGGTTTCAGGCAAGTCAAAGTTCTCTAGCTTCTATTCTTTTTTCTTTTCTTTTTAATTTTTTTTTTTTAACGCAGAAAGGGAACAATTATATTACATCAAGGCATTTGAAACACCTTTCCACCTTGGAACAAAACAAATTTATCTTAAAAACAAAAGACACACCATTGGTGTCAAGGGACTAAGCTACTGCACTGCCGATTATAATAAAAACTAACATTGAAGTTGCAAAAATTAAAACAAAAGGTAATAAGGTAGCTTTTGTGTAAAGGGGTGCCTCACTGTTAATAGTAGGCTCCATGTCACGAAAAGCGAAGTACTAAAATTCAGCAATCCAAGGGTATAAATCTCTGAAAAATTAGGTGGTGGATGAAAGCGATAAACTCTTTGTTCTCTTTGAGTTCTTCCCATATTAGCCAGTCCATGAGCTACGCCATTTGCTGATCTCCTGGCTTGCAAAACAGTCACATCCCAGTCTCATTGAAATAGTCCACTTGCATCTCTGATAATATTGCCTAATTCATGATCCATGTATGCGAATAATATTGCCTAAGATAATGCTTTTTAAATATTTATTCAAATACTCATTAAAATTTAATTTAACACTGAACATTTTTATTTTATTCATTATCATAGAATAGACAAATACATACATTGCATATTATGTAACAGATCCTACATTTTGTTGAGAAATTTTGTTTCTTCAACACAAGTCACAGAAGCTACCGAACTTGAATTGCCTGATATTGGTATATCAGTAGTGCATGTCTCCTTTCCATTGACTACAATATACAGATAATGATGTAATCATAATTGATTTTTTACATGTTTCTAAGACATAAAAATTTGCTTATCAGGGTTTGGCAAGATGTTCCTGTACTAGTTATTGTAAGCATGCTTGCTTACTTTTGTTTCCTGGAACAACTTTTGGTAAGCTTTATGAAACAAGTATCACACACTTTGTATTAGATGCTTTTCAAATCCCGTCTAATTTTTATATAGTACTTGTGAACAGGTTAGGAAAATGGGTTCTGGTGCAATTGCCATTTCTCTTCCATTTTCATGCATTTTGGGTCTGCTTGCATCCATGACATCAACAACCATGGGTATAGTGATTTGTTCTCAGAGACTTATAACAAATTTGTTGCCAAAATAATTTTCACCTTGTTTAATTTGGAGTTTTCTCATGTGGAAATCATGCCAATCAAGTCGTGATTTTACCTTTTGTGCAGTTGGAAGAAAATTTCTTTGGGTATATGCTGCTGCACAATTCATTATGGTGGTTGCCTTTGCACATATTTTGTACTCTCTGGTACGATCTTCCTAATTTCTTAGTCCAAAAGCTTTTTAAAGTAATCAACCATACCCTATTATACAAAAGTACTGGGTATAGTTGCCAACTTTTCCACCTTTGAAGGGCCGGTACCGGATCCCATGGACTTGCCCTTCCATTTGTAGAATCCTGCTTACTTTAGGTGCTTTTGATGATCATAAGCACTACAGTTATTGGTTTACTGCTTTACTCTTTAACTTGTAGTTTTCACACTGTTCTGATTCATCATAATTAAGGATGTAACCTTTTTTTTTTTTTACCAAAAAGACCTTAAATAGCCGAGCCATTTCTTTCCTCTCACCTTCACTTATAAGAATTGAGATATTTGGAAATCTTATAATAAGCCTTGCTCCATTAATTGTGGAAGGTGACAGTATATCCGGGCATTTTAAAATAGTATGTGTGAGTGTGACTGTAATTTCAGACATAAGGAGCTTTATTTGATAATATGTTTTCTTAATTTCTGCCTGTACAGCTACACATGCAAGCAGTGGTATCAGTCATAATTGCTACATTTGTTGGTTTCGGAGTGGCAATGTGTGGATGTTCCATTATCTTTGAGATTTCGAGATGGAGAAGGATGTTGCGAGCTCACTCAAATACCGAACCTACAGCTGTGGACGTAGTTCCTGTACCAATGTCTAACACAGCTACCATAACACAAGTGACTCCTAATCAACCTGAAACTATGTCCAACAGCACTAACTCTCATCATGGAGATTAAATCGCTAGTTGAATGAACATAACTACATATCAAACTCTTGTAATATTGCTCAGAGAGAGGCTTTTGTGTAGATAACTTACGTAGAGGTAATGTATTTTTTTTCTTCTTTTGTTTCATTTTTGAATGTAATATTATGTATTGTTTGCTAGAAAGTAGGATGGGAAGCTGTAAATCGACTGATGTAGAAAACATGTCGTATAATTTTCAGGCCTTATGGTCGGTGGCGCCTTTGACCATCTGCTTTGGCGCTTGTTTGTGTTTTTTACCTGTAAAGTTTGGTGGCTTTGCAAATGATGCTTCAAGGTAACTAGCTATACGACTAGTCTTTATGTTAGGAAGTTTCGTGGTTGACATTAGAACTTCTTGATAATGCTTTACAATGAATTTGCTAATATTGTCCTCTATTTACAATGATGTACATATTGCTATGTAATGTGCAACTACTCTCGCAACCCTAAAATAATTGACACAGTCAAATTTTGCACGCGCAATAATGCAATCAGTTGCCTTATTTAATGTAAGTAAATATTATTGAAAAAAAAATTATATTATAAAACTTTATATCAATACCTATCTAGCAATATATTTTATGATAAAATATGTTTTTATTATGTTAATAAAACACTATAGTCAAAGTTAATATATGAATTGTAAAAAAAATCCAACGTGTCAATTATCATGAGACGGAGAGAGTACTATTTTATTACCTAACAAGGTAGGTTTAGTAAAAATGTTTGCATCTAACAACCACAACGTTGTGGGATCAAAGCCCTCAAACATGAATTGGGCTGAAATGCATGGGTTCTGCATAATAATAATAATAATAATAATAATAATAATAATAATAATAATAATAATAATAATAATAATAATAATAATAATATATTAATACTAAAACAGAACACGTTTACATCATTTTTTACTCATGTCAAGTTATCATTAAAATATTTCCTGCCAAAATAAAATATGATGTCATTGATAACACATTTTTATATGTTATATTTGGGTGTTTCTATCTTATTTTCTCCATATATATCTTTTAGAGCTATTTTTCTTTATATTTCGATGTTCTCTCTTTCTTTGTTTTGTAGGATTTATGCCTAAAAGTGCACATTTGCACGCCAAGTTGAATTAGGAGCGTCTAGAAGATTATGATTTGAGCTTGACATCATATGTTCACATTCCAAGCTTGAAGTTGCATTTGCGTGAGCTTAGTGTGGAAATTGCTTAAGCCCCAACCTAGCCGTGGCTTGTTACATTAAGCTTTGGCCTGGTCATGGCTCCTCCATTTTTGCTCAAGAAAAGCCTACCAAGATTAGTAGACACCACGGATTGGCCGTGGCGAAACCCCAGTAGCTTTGTGTAGCCCATGGCTATTACCTAACGAAGCATTGAATCCATTTTAAAGGCGATTTAGAAGACCTATTTTGGGCAACTTCTTTACTTGTTCCTAGGGGTATATATAGGTTTTTATATGGCATATTAGACACTTCTTTTTAATTATTAATTTGAGTTCAAGAATTCTACAATTTCCTTCTATTCTAGATTTACTTTGTTCAAGATTTCATCTTCAATTACATTCATCCAAGTATTTATTATTTTCAACCTTTAATTACATTCATCCAAGTATTTCTTCTTTTCTATATTATATCTTCTAATTCTTTTGTTAATTGTTTTGTTCATTTAATTATGAGTTAGTAGATTTATATTCTAGGGTTAGGTTGAACCCTAGTTATGAGTATTGCATGAATTTCCCCTGATTCCCTATTTAATTAGATTAATTGTTTTGGTTTATTGCATTGTGCTAATTTATCAATGTTAGGTTAGACATAATTTGATATAGATTGAACCAAGTATCTTATTTATCAACGGAAGTTAAGATTAGATGGTTTTGATAATCAATATGGGCATGAAATTCTACATGGAATTAGGTATGGATTATTAGGATTATATGGATGTTGAGTTTAATGTCTCTAAATTGCATGATACCATGGTTTAATTGGATTTTAGGGAAGCCACAAAAACTTGGAAGAGGTTTATTGTTATTTTTCAATGGCACATCTTTCCTTTTAGTATTTTAATTAAATTAAATGGGGTAGAGATTTATCTTTATGTTATTCATGCTAGTGGTGATACTTAACTCTAGATGTTTTTATTGATTTATTTCATCATGTATTTGGTTAATTAATCGTTCTTATTTCGAATTTTAGGCTTTAGTTTCTTAAATTTGCGATGGTGAAGTTTAGAGGTGGTCTTATGAATTTTCGAAGGAGACTTGGTTTGCGAAGCTATATTGGTGGATCTGATGATGCTCATGCTTTTACCAATTTCTTTATTCACAGTTACAATTTCTTTTTTTTTTGTACATTTTTTAAAGTTAAAACATTAGTTGTTATAGTTATATAAATGTTTTCTTAAGTTATGCTTAATGTGTAATTATATGTCAGATTGTTTTATAAAAGTTATGTTAATCATAGTTATAGTTATACTATTTTGAGTTAAAGTTATAATTTAAAGTTATTATGTTGTACATATAACAAATCTTTTCTTTTCCTTTTCTATAGGTGCTAATGATGTAAGCAATGAAATTAATGTTGTTGGGGAGAGGGTGGAAAAAAGGGAGGTAGTGGGGAGGAGTCTGCAGTAAAGGAGGGTCAATTGGAGAAGGGTGGAAAAAAGGGAGGTTATGAGGATGAGGCTGCAGTAAAGAAGGGTGCAAAAAAAGGGGGTAGTGAGGAGAAAAGTGCAGTAAAGGAAGGTAGAGGGGAGAAGGCTTCAGAATAAGAGGGAAGTGAGGATGAGGGTTCAGAACAGGAGAAAAGTGAGGATGATGGTTCTAAATAGGAGGAAAGTGAGGAAGAGGCTTCAGAACAGGATGGAGGTAATGAGAAAGAGGCTTCAGAAAAGGATCACTAGTAGAAAAAGTGTCTTTTACCATGCCACATTTGCTACGGTTTATATAAAATCCATAGCAATATTTTTGTAGTATAAAACATCAACGTTAAATTAAATCGCTCAGTTTTTAATAACCGTAGCATTTATAAAATACCCTGCCCCAAAATAAATGAACAAAACCCTTGTATTGTTTATTTCGGACCAGCTTCCCACAAGTCATTCTCCTTCTTTGTCAACTCTTTACCTTTAAATCCTTAATACTCACCAACCCACAACAAGTATTTTATTTACTCACGTCGCTGCTGGTTTGGGCTGCCGTCGATGTGGGTTGCTGCTCTATCTCTCGATTTCCCAGTGAAGCTTTCTTTCCTCAACAATCAACAACTCCTCCTCAGCAAAACAAAACCCATTGTCGCCGCCGAGTAGTGCTTTGGGCCACCACCTTAAGAATTCTCATTATTTTCCTTCTTTCTCTTACTTTTCTATTTTTGTTTTTGCTTTTGTAGATGGCTTCTCATCGTCATCATTAGCAATGTTCGAGTCCTCTTGTAGATCTGAAGAGGTAACCCAGATTTTGTATGTCGAGAGGTTTGTCATGTCATATTTTTTTTACACAATCTCATTTGTTTTGGATTTTTCAACTTGGATTGTTGATTTATTATTTGTTATTAGTGGTGGGGGGGGGGGGGGGGTTAGTGCTTACGAGCCCGATGAATTGTGACGCTTCCCTTGCCGTAATTGTTATTTTGATTCTCCTGGTTCGTTTCTTTATATCTGTTTCAAGATCTGATTCTTATTTTTGATTTTTTTAGTTTTATATTATCTTAAATTTAAATGGGAAATTCTCATTGGTGGCCATCAAGTTTTGCTAATTATATTTGGTGGCCAATTTTTTTTTAATTATCTAAATTAGCCACATAATACTGTAACTTAGTTAATTATAATATAAATGACCATTATTAGCCATTTTTAAGAATAATAAGCAACTACGGTTAACTTAAGGTTAATTTTCGAATTTAAGAAAATAAAAAGAAAAAGAAAAAAAAACTTGCCATCAATATGTATAACTCCTCTCTCTCTCCAACATCACTTGCTTTTACTCATATTAAGAAACCATCCATCTTCACCATAATTCCAAATTCAAACACCATCTTTTGTGTTCTATGATGGTATTTGATGTTGATTTGAAGCTTTTTCATCTTGAAATTGATTACTTGCTTGAACATTTGACACCACCATTGTTGAACACCTTTCTCTTTCATGAGTATTGTTCTTAGTAGCATTACTTCTTTGTGTTTCATTATCTTTGTCATTTTGACTATGATGTCATGAATTTGTGCTTCTTTGTTACTAACTTTTGCAATTGATTTTTGTATTGGATGCTTCTTAGTTCTTATTATAACTTTCTTTGTTGCTACTATACTAGTCATGGCATTAGTTCATTAAGATGATTCTTGTTCATATATATTAGGGTCATTCTTGTGCTTGGAATTCTTATGTTATTCATCATAATAATTTGGTGCTTACTTTATTTCAAATACATTTGATTGAGCTTATTTTCTTTTCAAGATAAATTGCTTATGCTTGCCCTTATTTCTTGTAGATGGCTCCTATGCGCCGCAATAAGAGGGCTCGCAACTTTAGTAATCCACCCCCAACTCGGCAAGTTGTTAGGAATCGACAAGGATGTTCGGCTACTAGCAAAAAAAATTGGGGCTACTAGAACTTTTTAGTCTCAATACGCCAACTTATGCCCGTTTTACATAAAAAATCCTCTTTTCTCTTGAGGTGTAAAGGGTTAAGGATGGTGATTTTATTACGAGAAACTTGTCATTCCAACTTTTCAACAACGATCATTGTATCCCGGAGTCTCAATTTGGTGCTTACTTTCGGTTCCCTAGCTTTCCGGAGGAGGATGATTGTGTGCTACCGGCCCATCCGAAGATGCATGACGACCATGGTTATAGTGAGTTAAGATGGTTGAGACATATCTCCATTGAAGATGACTATGACCCTCAATCCTCTAAAGCCGCCGCCATAATTCATCCGGCCTTGTGCTATTTCAACCTCACACTCACTTATGCCCTTTTCTCCAAGGATTCTTTGGGTACTATTTCTCGTGAGGAGTTATGTTGGCTTTGGATGACCGACCATGAAGAAGGAGAGCTTGAGATCATAGACTTCACACAACACTTGGTTGGTCGTTTTCTTGAAGTAAGGAATGATGTTCAACTTTCGGGTAGCATCTAACTTAGTGGCATGATCATCATTCTTGCTCTTTGCATCGATGATTCATACAAGACCTTGCTTAGTGAGCTTAAATCTATTCGTGATCCTCGTGAGAAAACACTTTCCATTTCCTTAATGAGTATGCTCTTATTAATCAAAAGTTTTTGGAGCGCACCAAAAAGCTGAGCCTCTACATTTGGAAAGTCTCTCGCATTCGTGATTGGTTTTTGATACCAAGTAGTGAAGCTATCGATCGAATGATTCAAAACAACGTCTTTCCTTGGAGAGTC